GATTGACATGGTCCCTACACAGTGTCCATTGCTCCCTATTCCCTGAGCAGGGGAAATCCGTTGAAGTTTACTTCACTTCGGAATATTCATTTACAGATTTGCACTGCGCTGCGCCGCTGCCTGCAGCGTCTTCACACACATACGAAACTTACTAGAGAAGCGTGAAGTGGGACATAATATACAGCTGTAAATAAATACAATTTAAATTCACGTCTCGCACACTTAAATGCCCTTCGTATAGAACATACACGCTCCATTCAAACTGGAATCATGGCGGAATATCCAGTAATGTCCGCTTCGCAGGGCACAATACAGTCAAATATAACAAACGTCTGAAGCAATAAGAGAAACATACAAAATGTGCAGAGCGGGGGTACGCGAGGACTGGAATTGAGAACCGCTGCCGTAGAGGAACAAGAAGTGCTTGGATCAGAAACACTGTGGTGGAACGTCAGACATTCGTTCACCCCAATGAAAAATGTATGCATATTATTCACTACAAGTGATCAATAATGATAAAAAGGGAGGAATGTTATGGATTTTTTAAAAATTTGCATTGATTGCATTGATCTCACTTTAATACATTTATCTTACATCTTTTGAACGTAATCTTTAATCAGAACTCAATAAGTATTCAATGGTAACCTATAGAGTGAATGTGGTCTTTTCTTAGACGTTGTGTACCTGGAACGAGCAGTTCTGAAAGTAACCAGACACCTACATTAGGGCCTTTCGCACCGCAGGAACCTTTTCATAGTACCAGAACTAATTGTGGAACTACCCACTTTTTGGCGTTTTCGCTTGTTAATGTTGTTTTTCTTTGTTTCCGTTGTTGAACGCCGCGCACAAATGACGTCGCTGTCAACCGGTTCCTAGTACACACTGTCGGTGCGAATGCAACCCTTTAAATGGTACTGGGAAATAGTTCGCGCAAAATCGTCTCAGTACTTTAGTACTGTCCATTTAGTTCTGGAACTAAAGCGGTGCGAAAGGCCCTATAAACAGGAAGTACCATGTACTATGGGTGATGTGCACTGAGTAACATGATTGGCTTAAGAATTCTTATCTGTCTTCAATGTATCATTTTGAAGGATATAAATCTGGGCTGTGAGTGTGCCTGTTATCTTTTTGCTCACAGACTCAAGCTGTGTGTAAACCAAATCATTCTCTGCAGAGAATTAATGCAAGACAAAGACAAAACTCTGTTTGGTTTTTCATTTTCAGTCTTCACAAATATTTTATTAAGTCAGATTTTCCACGACATAAGTTACTGTACACCGGAGTTGCCTGGAGCTGCAGTATTCTGCCTTTATTTTACTGTCCATTAAAGTCTGCCACATTTAAATTATGGTGTAACCTGTGTACTTTCATACATATGTCACTGAAGCACTTCATTAGACAAACGAATTAGATCACGATTCTAAGTGCTCTATATAAGAAAAACACTGATTTTTCACTCAGTGCCAGGCTGGGGCTGCCAACATCTAGTTTCATGCATGCAGACTCAAATACCATGATAGTGTAGTATGTAGTATGTATCACACATAAAATCAGTAGCAACAGTTCGCAATTAAATCCATATCCTACCTTTTCGTGTAACCCAACAAAATCCATGGCAATGAACGTCATCGGAGATGTTTAATCAACAAGCATTCTGAGCATTATTCCTACTTGCTGGCATTCACATCAATCCACAAGTCATTCTTTTAGGTTAGGCTATTTTCATTCAAGTCGATGTAAAAGCAATTAGGCTATGTTTTTTATACTTTTACGTTAGTGAACATTGCAAATAAATTGGTTGCAAAACGGCATTCATTCACATGTTTAACTTTCCCTCCGGTTGTTACAGTCAGAAAAACAATTAATACAGTCACATTACTATATGTCATAGTCTTTGAGATCATGATCACTAGATTTTATACAGGTGTTACTATAATGATTTTGTAAATGTTGATGTATATAATTGAAATGAAAATAAATAAATAAAAAATAAATAAAATATTGATAACGGGGAAGTTACTGCCTTTTGCCTTGGCGTGCCATCTCACTTTTTGCTGACAATGCCATGGCAGAGTACAGTAATTTCAAAATAGGGGTAAAAAAAAGTTTAAATTCTAGATTTTGTTATGTAGATTATTTTCATTACTAAAACACCTAATTGTCATATTTCCAGTGTCCTATCTATGATTAATTTGGCGGGACAAATAAAAATCTTTAACCCCTTTGCTGTCACCCCCCATTTTGGCATGGAGACACAAATGACATACCCAAAATAAAAAGGTTGCTGCTCATGAGTCATTCTGACTAGATACATATTCAACATATGTTCACAAAGCTGACACTTCAAAGTTTACTGTTCAAGAATCAGAATTACTCAGACTGTTATGATAAAAGAGATATATAAGGTCAAACATAAAAACAAAAATAAATATATAAACAAATATTTTTTTAAATGTAAAAAAAAATATGTTGCTGTGGTAAATGCAATGGAGCTCAAGCCACAAATCTTCTTCTAATGCTTCATTTCAATTTTTAGGACATAATCTCTAAAACTGTGAATTTTATTAAATATTTTCTAAGACCACATCATGTGTGTTTTTAGAGAAGGCTAATAAAATTGATTTATGGCCCCCTGTAAGCTCTCCTGCGTGCTATTATCTCATGTCTGGCCCGGCAAACTGCCCCATTCATGATTCTAATACTATGTAAGTCAGTAGCACCCAGATAACTGTTTGGTTACCAACATTCTTCCAAATATATTTTTTTTGTGTTCAAAAGAAGAAAGAAACTCATGCAGGTTTGGAACAGCTTGAGGGAGAGTAAATGATGACAGAATTTAAATTTTTGGGTGAACTATCCTTTTAAACTACAGTGCAATCGATTATGCGCACTGTACTTCTACCCCTCACAGCCTCATTTTTATTCCTGTCAAACTTTAAATATGATGCCTATATTGGTGCCTCTGCTTTAAAAGTGGAAAGTGCTCAAATTTTAAGCAGAGCTATCTGAAATTTAATTCAAACAATTGTTAGCGATTAGAATCACAAAGATTGAAAGCATCCCAAAAAATATGCTTGAGACAAAATAGCATGTGTTTTTGTTGATGTTTAGGCTAGTGTAAAGGGCCAAGGCCTCTTGAACAAGCGAGTAGTTCGAGCTTCCTGATGAATCACAGGAGAGTTACACAGAGGGCTGATTTAAGCATGGAGAAATGTGCTGAGCTTCAGTTCATGAAAGCCAAAACCAACAAATCACTAAATAGAACCGCCTTCTCTGCCTTCACAGGGTACTTTCCCACTACACCCGCTCAAGCACATGTTTCGTACTTATGTTATGAGCCCATGTCTATACAGATAACACCCCAAAGGAGATATTTACATCTGACAACACAGGGAATCACCAATAAAAGTTTCAACATATGGAAGTGTTTTATCACATTTCATCAACTTGCATTTTGGCGCCACTGT